CCCAGTGGTACCAACAGAATAGCTATGCATCCTGAGTGACAAGGCATTGTTCATGGGCAAGAATCATTGCCCTGACTCTTTCTTCTATTAAAATGAATTTTCTTGAAGAATGTCTCTTGATGTGATCTGAAAATATTTGTACATCAGACCTTGCCACCAATCCTGCACCTTTTCCCTGTCTGAACTCATGGACACAATCTGAGATATTTTCCAGCCTGGAATAAAAATTGATATTCATTGGGTCTATTTCATCAGTTACTTCACAAGACCCACCATAGCTTAGTTGGTTTGGACTTCATGAAACTTTAGTGTAGTTCACATTACAATTCTTATACAATTCACTATAACATAATGCTTCAGATAATCAACTTACCTAAAAGAGTGAATATTGAAAGAGCCTATCTGGTTCAAAATGTGTGAGAAATCAGCTATAAAACAGGAACATGAACATTGGACAAGACCTTAAATGCCAGCAACTTCACAAATGCAGAGGAGAGGCTGAGGAGCAGAGGCAAAGGAGTTGGGAGGGGATAAGTTGGTGTCTGGTCAGTCACAACAGTGGAAGGCAGGGAAGGTTCCTAAGAGAATCTGTAAGAGGGGTGGGAAGAGAGGAGAAGGGATAAGTGGGGCTAGCAGGGGAAGAATGAGGCAGCAAGAATTGGGGAGGATGGGTATAATATGCATTCACTGAAGGGGGTTCGCAGAAGTTGGTGGAGAAAAGCGGGGAGACTGAGAAGGAAGAAGTGGAATGGAAGGATAAAGAAATAGTGGTGAGTCAGCTGAAGTGGGGAGCCCAACTGTTGTTGGAGGCTGAAGGAGCTGAGAAGGGGCGGCAAATGGGAGCCTGTGGTGGAGGTGGGGGCAGGTCCATGGCAATGAAGGGAGAGGGTTTAGAATCAGCCAGAGAGAGGGACTGTGATAAAGGGGGACTGAGGTCCTGTGGGGAATGGAGGAGGAAGGACCCAAAGGCTGTTGTCTGTGGGAGAGAAGTGGGGGGTATCCCAGCAATGATGTTGGATAGAAAGGGTAGGGGAGTCTGTGGGGTGAGTCAAAAGGATTTGAGTTGCTTTACAGGACTGGATAATCCTAGGACATGTCAAATACAGGCCTGGACATAGGGAAATTCCCCCATTTGCCCTTAAGATAGCAGTAGTAGTTATCTAAACTTCTAATAGTATCATAATCAATGTACCTTCATCTGGCTAGCACTCAGCATTATCAAGAGCATACAGAGACCAAGTGGTTTGGGAGAGGAAAATAAGCTGTTTGGGTCTAATCACTTGTGCTAGGCCCAAAGAGCCCAGGTGGTGCAAGAAACAGCCAAGAGGAGTGTGGTTTTTCAGTAGGGAATGAGTATTTCTCATAATGAGCCAAATTAAAGGGGAGTTGACAAGAACGAGTCACAGAACTGAGGTGTGTCATCACTGACCACAGGACCATGTTCAAGTAGTGGTCCCAAGAGTTGTGCCCCCTAGTCAGCACCAGGAGAAATAAAAGGGAAAACAAGGCCCTAGAGGGAGATCAGGAATATGGGCATCCTGGCATGGGCCCACAGTTTGAGACAGGCACCCCAAGTGAGAGTTGGCTCATCTGTGAGAACCTGAAAAGATGGGTCTGGCCAGTGTTGGGCGGGCTGCAGTTAGTAATGGGGCAGCAGTGGGGATTCCCCATAAAAAAGAAAAGGAAAAGCAAAAGAGAGAGAGAGAATGGCTCACTGCCCGGGATAACTCAAACCAGGGGACAGACTCCTCAGGAGCAACAGCTCCCAAACACTCTGAGTCTAGGTGGCGCCAACTGTTTGGTTTTTCACCATGTAAGAGAGAGAGGGAAGAGAGAGAGCAAAAGGAAGGTAAACAGGCCTTTATTAAGAGCACGGAAGAGGTGCTGAGGAGATGTTGGCAGCCTTCAGTGTCTTCAGGAACAATCACTGCCTTTTTTCTGGAACCTAACAGGGAAGGAATTAAAGGAGCAGCAGAGTGATTTACTAAGCCAATAGGAGGAGTCTTTGCACATGCACTACTAGCAGGAGGTTTGACTTGCAGGTTTGTGAAATTAACATAAAGGGGTGCTGTTCAGCACCAAAGGGAGTTCACACAGGAGGAAAAACCTATCATTACCATGCTTTGAAGCCCCGTAGTGTTTTCATTGCTCTGTTTTGTTTTGTTTGATTTTATTATATTTGATGTCATGGCAGCTATTTCAAAGATAACAAAATATATGATGGTAGCCATTATTGATTTCCTATTATCTTGTTTTGAACCCCTGTATTGCTTTCCTTGCTTTGTTTTGATTGTGTTCTATTTTTGGTTTGATTCTATTATGTCCAATAGTATAGGTAGCTCCTTTGAAGATAACATGAGGCATTATGGTAGCCATTGTTGATTTCCTATTATCTTGTTTTGAAGTCCTGTATCATGTTCATTGTTTTGTTTGGTTGGCTCTATTCTGTTTTATTTCATTTGGTTTTATTCTCTTCAAAATTTAAAAAAAAATAAAGAAAATACTTGATTGAGCCATTGTAGTGCTCACAAATAATGACTGAAAGCAGCAGTTGTCAAGTTTTGACATCAGGGTCTCAATTAAAAGATTCCAAAGAATATCAATGACAGTTTAAGTGCTATGTATTAATATTTTTCATAAAAGAAATTGACATTAAGAAAACATTTAACATTTTCCTGAGCCATTTAAGATTCACAGTAATGAACCCACTGCATAATAAAATAAACAGTGTAAATTTGGTGAAAAATTTATTTTTCAAAAAAGAAGAGTAACATCACTTTATATTTTTAGGAAATCTTTTTAATATCTGGCTTATATTAGACAGTTATATTCTGTACTTAATGTGGCTTACCACTACTACTTGAACTTTATAAATAAATCCAGCATGACACTGACACACAGACCTACGATCCCAAAATTCTGGAAAGCTGAGGCAGGAGGATCACAAGTTCAAGTCCTCTCGTGGCAATATAGTGACTTACAGAGGTCCTGTCCCAAATATAAAAAAACAAAGGGCTGGGGATGTAGCTCAACATGAAGGCCCAAGTGTTTACTCCTTAGGATTACCACAGACACAGAGATTTGGAACAGGGAAGGGAGATTTAACATGCTATTCAGATAATTGTGAATATTTCTCTTTGACACCAAAAGTTGACAAGTGTCATTTCTTTTTCCTTTTCTTTTCTTTCCTTTTCTTTTTGTGTGTGTGCCAGGGATTGTACTCACAACCTCTTGTTTGCCAGGCAGGTACTTATGCCACTAAGCTAAATACCCAGCCCAACAAGTGTAAATTCTTAATGGTTGTTTGTAATTTATAATTCTAAGTACATGTTAATACTTTATTACATGAAAATTCACTGGTCAAACTTAAAAATAATGATAATCTGATCAATGAAAATAAAATACTAAATCAAACAAAAATCTTAAATGAGGACCTTTCTCATTTCAATCAATGTTAGCCACTAAAAGAACATGCTTCCTAGTTGAATTGATACGGATTTACCCAACAGACCAGACTTCAACAGAAAAATACATCAGCTTTCTGTAGAACTACTCTTTTGTCAGTAAATAACCTTGGTATAAAGATACTAAGATCTTCAACATTAACAGAGAAGTTTATGATGATGTAGCATTAGGCATACCTTTGAAATGGAGCAAAGGAGATTGGTGGCTGCAATGGTGAGACCAAAAATAAATGCTTGGTGGTGAAAAATGAAACAAATTTATTACCTTACAATTCTGAAAGTTAGCCATCTGAAAGAAAAGCTCTCACTACGATAAAATGAAGAGATGAGCAGAGCTGATTTCCTTTCGAGGTTTCTGGGTTCCGGGTGACACTCTAATTTACCAGCTTATTTGACTCCTACATTTCTCTCTATTTTTAAAGCCAAAATGGGCTGTCTAGATTTTCTCAGGCTGCTTCACTGGGACACTGTATTTTTGGCCTCCCTCTGAAGCAGAGGTTCTACAGAACCCTTGGATTGACACTGGCCACGATAATCCAACATAATTTTATGTTAAACTCAACCGTTTAATAACCTTAATTCTGTCTGCAAACTTAATTGTGCTTCGTCAGATAACGTATGTTTATATGTTCTAGGGGATAATTTGTGGGTATTTTTAGAGCCAAATTATTCTGACAAACATGATGAGGGAGGCATTCAGGTGACTTTTTCAAAGGACAGCAGTGATCTCATCAATTTTGCATTGCCCCATTTGTCCCATGAAGCAGGCAGAGAAAGGAAGGGCTCAAGAGTACAACAATGTGAAGGTAAAAGGGAAGGATTCAAAAACAACCAGAACTCTGACTTGAGAAAGTGGGTGTACTGTGAGCCCTTCGCCTGGGAATTTGACTGCGGAACCTAGGCAGGTGGCCATGGCTGAGATCCAAGCTGCTTCCGGTCCCGCTCACATTTCCACACTGCCAAACATCATGAGAGCCTGCACAGAAGGGCAAGTGGAAACATCAAAAAACAGTGGATTGGGAGCCAAGACTAAGATCCCAGCTGGTGCCTGACTCTTGGCCCTTGGACAGCAGAGAAAGAGGACTACATGACTGACACCCTGCATGTCCTGAAAAGAGAAGGCCTTCTTTCTTGGGCAACTGTGGGGACAGCACAGTAATCAAATGAGTTCCCACATGGGATTGAGAAACAGTCTGCATGGCAGAAAAAATGACTCTCAGCCCAGGACCCAGACCAGTGATTGGTTTCCGAGGGCTGAGGTCTTCCTCTGAAAGAGAAGCAGCCTTGAGGGGCGCCCATCTCAGTTTCTTCAAGAGCAGAAGTACCTTCCTCACCATCCTGGTGGGAAAAGCAGGGACAGACAAACATTGGGGAGCCTCCTTGGCTGCCTGTTGCGCAGCCACCCCCCACCCTCCCCCCAAGCCACAGCTCTTGACACGCCCCCCCCCCAAGCGTCGAGAAAGGAGGGGGAGTGGAGACGAGGGGGCGGCGCACCGCAGACTGCGTTGCGGCCTCACAGAGGGGCGGCTTGGTATCCATCCGCTGCCGCCAACCTCCCCATGTTGCTTCCCCCTCCTCGCGCATCCTCGCAGCCCACAGCCGCCCGCCAGCCCCACAGGGTATAGTGGCGTAGCGTGGGAGACAGAGTGGTGGTCTGCACGTTAGGGTGCGCTGGGGACTACTGAGGCGGGCGGATACCGAGCCGCCCCTCAGACGGAGGCTAGCCCTGGCCCCGCCCACCTCGTCGGAACTACGGTGGGCCTGAGAGGGGGCGTTGAGCGATTTCTGACGTATCCCTCCGCCCCCCTCACCCTCGCGGCCAACGGTTCTCGCCGCGTCGCGTCCTGCGCAGCTCCTGCGGGGTTTGGCGCAGAGGCGCGGGAGGCGGACGGTTCTTTGCCATTCTGGTGGCGCAGGAACCAGGAAAGCGGTGGGAATCCGAGTTTGCGGCTGCCAGTGGAGAGGGGCGAACAGGTGAGGAGGGATAGCCCGATGTCCTGCGCTCTGCGTCCGTAAAGAGCGTGAGGGAGTGCGGGGGCGGGAGGCGCGAGGCGGCCTTCCCCTGTTGACAGACTTACGGCAGGCTACCAGACCCTGGACGCCAGGCAGACAGGAGGCTAGCGGGTCGTAGCCGGTCCCAGAAAGTGGCGCGCAGTATTTAAAGCTGTGTGGGATTCTGTGGAGGGCCAAGCTGCGACCGCTTCCCCCCGGCTTTCTGGACGCCCGCGCCCCGCCCTCCACAGTGTCTGCTCTGAGAGGCTCTGTCGCAGGTGAGGGCCTGCTGTGGGAGAAATTGGAGTGCGGCAGTCTTGACTGGGGGCATCCCGGTAGGCCTCCCGGAAGGCGAAGGGGCTGGCTTGAGGACACCGTGTCCAGAACAGCTGGTTGAAGGTGGCTCACCCATGCTAGCCAGCCCCTGATTCCCTTATGGGGCCTGTTAGACCCCGTGTCCTGAATACTCTCTCCCCCCACCCACCCCCAGGTTCCTGTCGGTGGCAGAGTCTCCTGTCTGCGCGGCAGGTGTAGTAATTTCTGACAGGCCACAGTGTGCATCTGTACAGGAGAGGCTTGAGAAAAAGAAGGAGCAGGAAAATGGCCTGGATTTTTGCAGGTGTGTAGGGTTGGGGGGTGGGCAACAAGCACTGGATAGATATACACATAAAGGTGGGGTGACTGTGACCAGAGCAGAGGGGCTTCCAGTGGTGCCTACTAATCTTATCCTTTCTGAAGCCGATCCTGGTATTTACCATATCCCCCCAACACCTCATGAGCCCCAAATTGGAGACCTAAAAAGGTGGGCTCATGGAGGGGGCAATGAAGGACTACTGAGTAAGATTTTACAGTATACTTTCTAGAATATGCTATGCTCTTCCCCTGTTCAATGCTGCTGCGCAAGGTAGGAGTCTGTGGTACACCTAGTGGTGGATCATCAGAATTGGAGATGGATGTAATGGGAAGTGTGAGGAAGTCTAGAAAAGGCTTCTTACCCTCTGGAACACTGCAACAAGGGGCCGAATAAAATGAGAATATTAAGCCATCAGGTCCCCAAATCTTGAAGGACAAAATGGGGAGAATTTTCTTTGATGATGTGCTGTCCACCAGGCTCAGCTTGTTATCACTGTTTCCTGACTTGGCTTAAGCCTTTTCATCTGTTTGTCCTTAGGCCTGCTTTAAGGCTGGTCAGTTCTTCAAGAAAACAAGAGAAGAGAGATCGGACTCAAAGTTCTGGAGGCTGGTGAGAAGGGGGCCTCAGGGGGGACAGCTCCTGAAGAGCAACAGGTGGCTTTGATCCAAGTGGATGTAGGACCCCATATACTTTTACTTTTTGCTAGATTTGTACATTGCCACTGCATTCCTTGTCCGTTTTCTGTAGATATTTTAGAAATGTTGAGATAGGCATGCGTTGGGCTAAGAAGGGAGAAGACCTAAAAGCAGGAAACAGGAACCTTTAGAGAGATTACACACTAAAACTGAGAGAAAGATTTTCCTAGAGCCACAGTGCATGCCTCTGTCTTCAAACAAGATTCTTTCCTGTATGTTTATCTGCAGGACCCCTGTGGTTGACTGTGGAGCTTAATACCACTTGAACAAAGAAAGGAGTGGAAAATAGCACCATACCAGTCCAGGTTTGTATGGGTGTAGGTTCATTTTTGGGTGGAGTAGTAGAAACCAATTGTGGTGATTAGGGTCCAGTCCTCCGGCTTCTGTGCTTCTCTGTTGTCAACATGCTTTCCCCACTGTCCCCATATCTGTTTTGTAGCACACAAGAGAGAAGGAGAGACTTTTATCATAGCTTAGTTTTTCTGCCTAGCATTTGGCACCATTTTTTTCTGTGAGAGTCTGTGCATGAGGCAACACAATTGGATGAGAAATTCAATTCCCCATTTTGTTCTTTTTCTCTAGATCGATCTCCAGTGACAGCTCTGGTGGTGCAGAAGTTGCTGCTGGCCACCACCCTCAACAGGTCTGCACCCCGCCAGGAATCATCCAGCACCCCCCTATCAACTTCTTGTTTTTCTGCCTATATGCATATTATTGAGGGAGACTATCTTCAGTAGGAGGCTAAGTGACTACCAAATTGATGATCAAGCCTATGTCTTGGTTTTCAGCTTATAGTCTACATTTCCAGAAGATTAGTGTGTAAAACTGTAGTCCTCTGACTGTTCTCTGGCTGTGATTACACCTGTGATTTGGGGAAGTGTATATAACTTGGCTTTTTCTGATTTGTATCATGACTGGTACAGAGCTTGAACTTGCTAAGGAGGATAAACATGAAAAGAAACCTGTGGAAAAGTTTGGTGTAGCTGAAATAGAGAGTGAAGTCCCTCTGGTGGTCAGACCTAAGGTTAGGACCCAAGCACAGATAATGACTGGAGCAAGGCCTAAAACAAAGTCCAAGGTTATTCCTGGAATGTGGTCTAAAACCGAAGCAAGAGCAGTGGGTAGGGTATATACTAAGAGTAAAATCAAAATGATCCCTGGGTCAAGATCCAAAGATGATACCCAGGCCTGGGCCCTGAATGATTTTAATACTGAGCCAATGTCAAAGACAGAACAAGATGCCCAAACCAGTGCCATAATCTTTCCAGTGGTCAGTACTGATTCTGGGTTGGTTCCTAAAACTAAGTGCCTTTTTATGGATAGAGAATTGGTTAATATAGACAATGAGAGCTTTACTGGAAAGAAAGTTCATTCTCAAGTGGGATTCCAACCTTCCTTTGGGTCAGGAGAGATAACTGATGATGAGACCTGGAGTTTTCTTAGGCCTTTATCCAAACAAGAGTCCTCTCAGAATTCTGTGAATTCATGGTTCTGGAATCAAGAAGATGTCAGTGTAAGATTTCATCCTGGGAATGGGTTAAAGGATAGTAACAGATTCAGGCCTATATCCAAACAAGAGGCAAATGATTATCCCAGGCACAAAAGCAAACAGGATATCTATATCGTGTCTAGTAGTTCTGATTCTGAGGATGAGTCTCTTGAGACATCATGGTTCTGTGGTAAACAAAAAACAAATTCCTTGCCCAGATCCAGGGAAGAGGTCAATAGTAGGCCCTGGTTTAGGTCTAAGAAAGAAGTCAATGTTGAATTTAGTTCTGGGTCTGAGTGTGAAAGTGCTATGAAGTCCTGGTTCTGGGATAGAGAAGAGACCAAATGTAGGTCTTTACCTAGAGCTAGGAAAGAGACCAATAAGAGGGTGCAGCACAGTCACAAGCAAAAAGCTTGCATTGATGTCATGTGTGATTCTACAGATGAAATAAAAAAAGAGTCCTGGTTCTGGCCTGAAGAAAAGGATAATACATTTTTAAAGTGTAACACCAATAAAGAGGCCAGGGTGCAAGCAATTGAAAAGGAAGAAGTCAAAACCAGGGTCAAACCAAAACAAAGATCACAGGAGGAAGCCTTCACTGGGACTTGCTTCTGGACTACAGAAGAGTCCACCCTGACGGATGTGGCCAGTGTAAAGTCCAGTCCACAACTGGAGGATGAGAGCATTGTTGGTAGTTGGTTCTGGACTGAAGAAGAGGTCAGTAAGGAGACAGGGTCCAACAGCAAATCTAGTCCAGTGCTTGAGGAGCTTGTTGACAATTCCTGTGTAGGGACTGGGGAGAAAACTAGTACGGAAATTGAGGCTGAGGCCACCTCTCAATCTGTACTAGCAGCTAATGATGAAGAGGTCATTGTTGGTTCCTGGTTCTGGGCTGGTGAAGAAGTCAATCCCGAGCCCAAAGAAGAGACAATTTTTGGGTCTTGGTTTTGGAGCACTGGTGAGGCTAGTGTAGAATCTGATGTTGGGGTCAGCTGTGAATCAAGGCCACAGTCTGAGGAAGAAGTTGTAGGTCCCTGGTTATGGACTGGAGAAGTCAGTATAGAGGCTGGGGTTGGAGAAGAGTTTAGCCAAGGATCTGAAGAAGAGACAATATTTTTGTCCTGGTTTTGGTCTGAAAACCAGACTCAGACTCGTATGGATTCTGTGATGGAAACTAGCTGTGATGTGCCAGGAGCTGAGGAGGAAGAGGATCCCATGTTTGGGTCCTGGTTCTGGGCTAGAGTAGATACATGTGAGGAGGCTAAAGTTAACAGCAAGTCTGGCGTGGAGCATGAAGAAGTCATCATGCCATCTTTGTTTGTGGCTAGAGAGGAGGCCAATGTGAAGTTCGGAGGTGGTGTCACAAACAAATTTACGGCAGAAGCTCAAGATACTAGTAATAAGTCTTGCTTCTGGGCAAAAGAAGAACCCTGTTTATATCGCGCTAGTAGAGGAAACTGGAAGCTTAGACCAGAGGAAGAAGATACTGCTGATTCAAGGTTCTGGTCCAAAAGATACACGGGACCAGAGCCCCTTGTGGGATCCTGGTTATGGGCTGTGGAAGAGGGCAGTACAGATTATGAGGCTAGACAAAAGGCCATGTTACCAACTGAAGAGAAGATCAAGACGAAGTCCCAGTTCTGGAAAGAAGGTAAAGACACCACCATAGAGACTACTGATAGAAAGGAGTCCAGGCTAGAAGCTGAAGAGGAGGACATTATTGGTTCTTGGTTCTGGCCTGAGGAAGAAGACGGCCTCGAGGTACAAACTGAGAATAGGAAAGAGAGCAGTGTAAGAGTCGAAGAGGAGGAGGATTCTGTTTTGGGGTCCTGGGGTAGGCAAGAGGCTATTCAAGAGAGTGGGTTTTGCAGCAAATATAGTTCCAAAGCTGATGTGGAGGAAGTCATTGTTGGATCCTGGTTCTGGGAACCAGAAACAAGTTTAGAGACAGTTACAGCAGATATTTTTGAAACCAAGACTGGGACTGAGGAAGAGGAAATCATTGTTGGACCTTGGTTCTGGCCTAAAGAATCTGACAGAGAAGCTGAGTCTCAGGCAGTAGATGAAACCCAGTCAAAAACTGAAGGAAAAACAATTTTGGGGTCCTGCTATTGTGCTAGAAAAGAGGTTAATAGAGAAGTAGGGATGTGCTGTGTATCAGAGCCAGCATATGAGGAAGAAATGATTATTGAGTCCTGGTTCTGGTCTAGAGACAAGACTGTTAAGGAAATTGAAACTGTAGCTACCTGTGAGTTTGGATCACAAGATGATAAAGGGGAAGTTGTTAAGTCTTGGTCTAAAGCCACACAGGAGATGAATAACCAAGCTGGTGATGGAACTAACTGTGAGGCTGGGACATTACTTGATGATGAGGATGACATAGTAGGGTCCTGGTTCTGGGTAGGAGATGAGGCCCATTTTGAATCAAATCCTAGCCCTGTGTTCAGGGCCACTTGTGAGTCTTGGGATTCAGTTAAGCAGGAATCTGAACCTTCACACAGACCTCAGAGTTGGGATGAGGTCACTGTTCAGTTCAAACCAGGTCGATGGGGTAGAGTTGGCTTCCGATCCCTAAGCCCTGTTAGATTTCCAAGCGAAGCAGCTCTTTTCCCTGAAATGCTTGAGGAAAGCGGGGATGAGGAGCTTAATGCAGAAGGTGGAGAGCAAGAATCTTTGTTTAATTTTCAACCTCAGTTCTCATTTCAATATGCTCCATCCTACCGGTCAGTCCAGGAAATTCGAGAGCATCTTAGGGCCAAAAGGAATGCAGAGCCTGAGTTCTGCAGCTGCATACAGTGTGAACTTAGGATTGATTCTGAAGAGTTTGAAGAACTCCTTTTATTAATGGACGAAATTCAGGATCCTTTTATTCATGAAATTTGTAAAATTGCAATGGGTATGAGAAGTGCTTCTCAATTTACCCGAGATTTTATTCGGGAGTCAGGTGTTGTCTCGCTTATTGAAACTTTGCTGAATTATCCTTCCTCCAGAGTTAAGACAAGGTTTTTGAAAGATATGATTCGTACAGCTCCATCTTACCCAAATCTAAACATGATTGAAACATTTGTATGTCAAGTGTGCGAGGAAACACTTGCTTACAATGTGGATTCCCTTGAGCAGCTGTCTGGATTAAGGATAGTTAGATATCTCACTACTACTACTGACTATCATACACTGGTTGCCAGTTATATGCCTGGCTTTCTCACCTTACTAGCTATAGGCAATATCAGAACAAGATGTCATGTTCTGGAAATGCTACTGAATTTGTCTGAAAATATTGACATGATAAAAGAATTACTAAGTGCTGAAGCAGTGTCAGTATTTATGAACTTGTTTTCCGAGGAGGAGGCAAATGGCAATATTGAAATTGTTCTTACAATATTTGAGAATATTGGTGATAATATCAGAAAAGAGACATTTTTCGGTGATGATGATTTTAGTCTTGAGTCACTTATTCCTATATTCCATGAAGTTGAGCAATTTGCCAAACTACTGCAAAGCAAAATAGACAATCAGAATAATCCGGAAGCAGACCAACAAAATTAGTATGATTAATCACTTGTGTCTGATTGTTACTATGTTCCTAAGTTATGATTGTTAAATAATGCTTTGGTTTTCACAAAATAGCTGTGTGTTGCAGTGTACCTCTTTAATGCTAACACTAACTTTGCAAATATTTATGCAAGCTAAATCATTTTTCTGATGCCAACTCAAAACTGAAAACTCACTTGTTGATATTTGTCTCGCCCAGGTTATAATATTTAGTATTTGAGCTTATAGTGAACTGAGCCATCATAAATAAGCTATTCTTCTGACTGTTGTTCTGATGTGCAGATACCCTATTCTTGTTTGTGTTTCAATAAAGTTCTGTTAAATTTAGTGGAAGTCAATTATTTTTCTAGAACTTAAAGTAGAAGCCTAGTATGGTGGGGCATGCTTGTAAACCCCAAACTCTGCGGAAGCTGAAGTAATAGTATCAAAAATATAAGCCCATCCTGGGCAGTTTATTGATTTAGTGAGTTACTCTTTCAAAAGAAAGGCTGGGCCTGTAGCTCAGTGTGAAGTTATAGCTCAGTGTGAAACCTCCAGTATTGCAAAACAGACAAAATTGATGTAAAGGTGATGTGAATACTCAGTGATAATCATATGTGCAATATGTTAATTGTAAAAGTTTCTCATTAATTTTAAAAGTTACAGCTGACTTATTACGGGCATACTTCAGAGAAAAGGACTCTAAAATATAGGAAAGTAGTTGGTGATACGAAGGAATGCATGGAGGTGGCAAAAGTGTTCTGTGGGAGTGAGGTATCCATCTGCCTGGATTTAGTGGCAGGAGTAATTTGAGGGATATAGAGAATGATGTAAATCTTGAAGAGCTGAAGAGCTGGATTTTACTTTTAAAATACAGGTGTTTCTCAGTGTTACCTAAAGGATAAAAGAGTAACACAGACGAGCACTCAAAATTCATAGAGGAATGTGGTTTGATCATATTGATCAGGTTTTAAAATGAGCTAAGATAATTCATGTTTTTCAAAAATTTTTAAGAATAGATGGTGTCACATGGAAAGAGTGGTCCCATTTAAAAATGTGGAACAGAACAGGCAATTTAAGTATTTCATTATGAAAAATTCAATAGTTACTCAAAAATTGACAAATAAGGTACAAAAGACTAATTTGAAAACTGGGTTATCAAATGAAACTACAAGATTATTTAAAGGAAATATACTGTAAAATTACCCAAGTTTCTGATTCTATCCCCTATACTATTTCTTACATTCACAACAGTTAATGTCTGTTCATACAGCAAAAATGGGATAAAGTAGATTGGAAAGAGTGTTCACTATAAGGAGGAATACACAAAGTTTTTTTCACTCAGTAAAAGAACCACACCTAGTGACTTATTTCTGGTTTGTCTCAGGACATAAAGTGATCTTTTTCACCTGGTTCTAGTATATGAACTGGAACTAGGACAAAGCCCCTACATACATTACAGATGTTTTCAGAGATATCCTGCTGTTAAAAATTGGGTTTTGGATGCTGTGCGTGTCAATAATTCAAGATCGTGTGTTTTTTCATATCATCCAAGCATTGTACAAAATACTAAAAATCAATTCATCTCCAAAATCACTAAGAAATTTTCCTACCAAGTGAGTGTGCATGCAGAGCAAGGCCCAGACCTAGGGCCTAAAAGCTTTGGTTCCTACTCTAGCCTTCCTTTCAGCTGTCTTCACTGGATGCAAAAGATCCTGCCATCTGAACTGCAATGCTGCTGTAGACAAGCGATGGTCATATGAAACAAAGTGGTTCCTATGACCAGGATCTTGTTTTAAGCAGTAGAGAAATATGTTTACTTGTGTGAAGAAGGGTTAGGAAGGAAATGCACATGAAGATTAAGACAGATGGGATGAACGGCAGAATATTCACGTGAGTTTGTGTGTAAGGAGGGACTGCCCCATGCTACGTTAGCCTGAAAATTGATTTCTCAGATGACCACAATTTCAGCATTTGCTAGTAGAGGAAAGAATCCTTTAGGAAATTGTGAGTGTCTTTGTTCTATCTTTTGTCTACAAACTCAAGAAGTGGGCTGTCATCCTTTGGGATGCATTCAGGCAAAAATGCAGCTCTTGCTGTTGGAGGAGGTGGGAGCAAGGCTGTTAAATGTCATCTATTAGAGATGGTGGCTGATACTAAATGCTGGTGCTTGAAATGCCTCAGACCTGCCTGAGGCCCAGAGTAGAGAAACTAGTATTAAGTGATGATTTGTAATTACTTGTGGCTCTGGATCTGAAAATGCAGGAGTGGGGATGAGAAACATGGGCTACACTAATAGTCTTCCCATCCTGTCAGAACTCTACTGTCTGTCTTAATGACAGTGTCCAGGCCATAGCAATGGCCAACCAGCTCAAACACAGGGGCTGGGCAAGAGAGGAACACATCTGGCTTTTACTGTAACATTCCAACTGACTGGAACATCTGGGCAAAGGGAGGCGTATGATAGATCATCAAAAAATATGGTGGATGTTTAATTTTTAAAAATATATTACATTAAATACCATCTGTTGGGAACTGTCGAAGCTGGAAATTGACCACACTTGCAGGGGCCAGCCAGGCAAGTCAGAGAACAAAGACCTTCCAGGATAAGCCATAAAAAGAAGTAACTCTAGGCCCCAAAACATCAAGTCCTTGGGTTGCCATACATACAGATTACTAGGCAGTGAGGTGTCCCATAATTAAGTTGCTAAATGTATAAATAAATGCCCCCACAGTGAGGGGGAAATTCCTTTCCTCCCATCAGGAAAAAGGGCTCTGCCTGCCCAGCTTTTGTCTCTTATTTTCTCATCCTCTTGTGGTCCTCATCGATAACCTCAAGCGCCACGTGGGTCACAGCAACCATCACCATCAATCCTTCCCCCCCCCCAAAAAAACCCACCCTTTTGCTTTAAAAGATTTATCCCATCATTCTTGCCACTTTCTGAAACAATTCTGGAAGTCCTCTTTCATGAGTGTCTTTAGTAGCACTGTCATGTTTCTTGTCCTGAATCAACTGAAAACATTTACCTTTGCTTGTCATTTTGACTTTGTGGAAGAGCCAGAAGCCACATGGTGCCAGGTTCAGTGATTAACATGTATGAATACACACCACAATGTTGTTATGAGCCTGCTTTTTTATTGGAAGGTACTCAAAAGTAGCATCACCATATTTTTAAACATACCTTCTAATGAAACTCATGAAACAGGACTCCCAGAACTGTGAAAGTAGCAAGACTTATAGAATAAAATTGAAGCAAGAGGAATATTTTGAGAGGAATTAATGGCATTGTGTCTTTCACTGTATTTTATACTTTAGATGTCCTCCCAAAGTCTTGCACTCAGAAATGGGGCTTGTGGAAGGTTCCTGAATTATGGGGATGCTACAGTTGGCTTGGTGTTGAGATGTCAGATCTGGTTAGAAGAGATGGGTCACTAGAGGTGACCTAGAAGGCTGCATCTTCCTAATCCCTTTATTCTCTACCTCCTGGCTGCTGTAATGTGATCAGTTTTTCCTCTGCTACCATATGCCCCTCTACCATGTCACCCTGCCTTGCAGTCAGCGAACTATGGAGTAAAAGTGTAAGTGAAAATATACCTCTCCTCTCAGTTGTGGACATCAATATTATGCCTTGGTGAAGGGAAAGTGACTAAGATACTATAATGCACTTTTAAAATTTAAATATTAACTCTGTATTTCAATAACCAGTTGTGAACTCAAAGAGAAGGAACTGAGGTGCTTTGGGCTTTTCGTGTAGGGTTTCTCACTGGGATAGTCTGAAGTTTTCAACACCTGATTTCAGTCATAGAGATCATCATTCTGAGGGTCAACTTTAGACTCTAGGTTTGCACAGGGTCCCATCCCATTGCGCTCTCAACAACTCTACCCATCTGCTATTCCATCTGACACTGTCTTCCCCTAAAATACTAGGCTTCTGAAGAGGATCTTTCTGGCAATCACCTATACAAATTGCTTGTGGAGTATCCCACAGATACCCTTTTATGAATGTGTTGATGTCTTCATTTTGTTTTATGGTCAATACTTTAGACTAAATCATTTGTGCTTAAACTTAATGGTACTTTATCACTTTTGGTGAGAGTAGCTCTGTAAGACAGCCTCAGACTAACATAGTTCTTCAGGACAATACAATTAGAAAAAATAAGTCTTAATACATCAACCTCTATTTACTTGCACTTTTTTTTTAAATTAATGAATCCACACAGATCTTTCTAGTTCCTTTTTATAACTGTATAGTATTCCTTTTATCACTATCAAATTTTAGTAAATGATACTCTTATGTAGAGATATTACTTTGTAATATTTTGCTATTGCATACAATACTGGAAGGTATACTTTTTACAAATATATTTTTGTGTGACTGCAAGCATGTCCTCATAGATTCCTAGGATTGGAGCTTGTGGGCCAAATAATAAGTGCATGGGTGTTATTAGGTATTCTCAAATTCTCTTCAAAGGGGTACTACAAATTTTCATTTATGGAAGCAACATGGCATTGCCTATTTCACCACATCCTTAATATTCAAGTACTTATACATTTGATATTTGTTGATTGCCTGATCATTTCACCTCTGTTGTTCCTTGTGTTAGTAACTGTGTCTTTTTGCTTTCTACTTTACATTTCTGGCCAAAGGCTTATCAATTTATTGACTTTCTCGAATTATAATTTTCTTTTGTCTTTTTCCTTTTTTATTGGTACTGGGGATCGAACTCACGACTGCCTGCTTGCAAGGCAGGTGCTTATGCTGCTGAGCTAAATCCCCAGCCCCTATGATCTTGAATTACAATTTTTTTCTTTTGCCTTTTTAAATTTTACTGACTTTCTCAATGAATTAGGTTTTAGTTTTGTTAATTTTACTTATTGTTTTATGTTTTACATTTCATTAATTTCTGCTTTTATATTGCTTTTCTTCTCTTTACTAGATGTTTAAAGTACCCTGTTTTTTCCTATTTAAAATAGTAGTTGAAGTCACTAATTTGAGACTATTTTCCCAATATATACATTTTAATATTATAAATTTCCCTTTAATACACTTGTTAGCTACACCCTACAAAATTGATGTATTGCATTTTCATTATTTTTCATTTTAAATTACTATTTTATTTTTTGATTTCTTCTTTGATCTAAGAATTATTTAGAAGTGTGCTAAGCGCTTCCCAAGTCTTTGGAGTTTTCCATATTTTGATTACTTATTTAATTCCACTCTGGTCAGATAACATCCTTTCTTTAACTTAACTCCTTTAAATTTATTGAAATTTCATTTATATTCCAGAGTATGACCCATCTTGGTACATACTCCATATCCACTTGAGAAGAATGTGTATTCTTCTGT